CATATATGGCTATTTCGGGGAGGAGACGGGGTGGAGTTTCATGTACACACAATCTTCCGCTGACTGGGTATTACAAAGGGAATTTTTTGCAGGTTCTGGCATACGCATGGGTTTATAAATCGGAAAAATTTTGTACGTACGCAAAATCTAGCTTTTGTGGGTATGCTCACATTTAGGATGAAATATACATAAAGTTTTATACATGAGGCCCCAGGAGAATTAGAAACACTAAATTGTCCGTATGTGTGAGAGTGTGTATGTTGTGTGTCTGTTAGTCTTGCGAGTTTCCCAGCCTTCAGTCTGAGACTCCAGCATCCTGTGACTCTATACATGCGGTCTGAAGAATGGATGAAATCAGGTTGAAGTTTGTTCCTCTGTTACGGCATACTGGCTTTGGTCTTCAGTAGATGCAACTGTGACACACACACACACACACACACACACCATTCACTTTTAAAATTCAGTTTGACTCTTTCTGTTTTCCTTCCACTGCAGATACTGCTTATGAATGACCACCATCTGTTGTAAATATTGATTTATAACATATAAAAAGAGAAAGAGTAAAGGTCTGTCTGTCAGTGAATGTGAATGGTTTACAGAAAAGACACTCAGAGGAGAGAGATGGATCAGACAGAATTGTACCTCTCGCTCTGTAGCATTTGAACAGCAGCACGACTGTCGCCAGCAGATACGGACAAGCTGCCAGAAGAAAACTGAGGATGCTGAAGACAGAAATCTGACCTGAACGTGACACTAAAAAAACAACAACAGAGAAACAAGCACTTATTGAGCATCACTGCAGATCTCCTGAAGGCTTTCAAATTGTTTCTCGGGGAACCCCAAGTTTTATGAGTATATTGTAATTTTAAACAACAGACAAGTATTTCTCAAAATATTAACTAACCATTAACAGACAGATTTATCCGGTTACTCTCCTGTGATGATTTTGGTCTTCCATCTCTCTGTCCTCTACACCAGTACTGATCCTGATCAGACTCATTCGCTCCTCTGATAGTGAGAGTGTCTCTGTTTACAGTGTAACGATCAGACGTCTGTAACAATACACTTTTGTCTGTGCCTTTATACAACTCATATCTCCAGCTACTGTAAGTCTCAATCACACAGGTCAGATTGACTGTCTGTCCTGTGAATACACTCTTTGGTGTCACAGTCAGTGTAGATCTGGGTAAATCTGTAAAATAAAAAACAGACAAATACCAGATATGAAATATGAATACAATGAAGTGTTATTTTAATCTTTACATGTTCTGGTCAGACTCTGATTCCACCCAGTCAAACATGTTTGATATTTTCAGCAGATTTAAGAACACATTATTTTTATTTGTCAAGTGTCTCCAGGCAACAGGGCGCACCTTTCTGTGTGAGTCGTGTAGTGTATGATGGCCAGTTTTCCTCTGTCACTATTTATAAAGTCGGTAAGTGTATGAAGCCTAGTGTTTTACATCTCTGTTCAGATTGAGGTGTTTGGATCAGCACAGCACACAACTGTACGACCCTCACTGTGTCTGCAGTTTATAGTGTGTAAACTTTGTACAGAATTTCAGCCTTCGACGCCTGAGATGGACCGTGAACAGAATACAGTTTCTCCATAGACTTACTACATTTGCTAAAATATGCAATGTATAATTATCTACCACAACCACAGAGACCTTTCTTCAAAGTTTGATCAAACTTTCAGTTTGAATTAAATTTGCAATATAACCATTTTTGTTGTTGAGCTGAAATGTTGGACACAGTGTGTGTTCATATAGTAAAGTGAGTTTATGAGAACAATGATATTCAACTCACCCGTCACAGAGAGAGAAACAGAGCTTGATTGTGATGAGTTTGGTCTTTTATCTCTCTGTCCTCTACACGTGTACTGATCCTGATCAGATGTAATTACTCCTCTGATAGTGAGAGTGTCTCTGTTTACAGTGTAACGCTCAGACGTCTGTAATATTACACCATTGTATCTGCCTTTATACCAATCATATCTCCAGTTACTGTGAGACTCAATCACACACTTCAGAGTGACGGTCTCTCCAGTGAATACAGGACTGTCTGGTGTCACAATCAGTGCAGATCTGGGTAAATCTGTGAAGAAAGAAGATGGAGCTCTTTCAGGGAACTAGTCAGAAACATGATCTGATCATCTGAGTTCCTGTATTTGTGTAACACTGACGTTAATGAGGAGAGATGTGAGGAGTGATGGTCTCATGTGTGTATTTATGTATGTATGTATGTATGTATTTATTTATATAATTAATTACACTGATAACTTTAAATCCACTAGTAAAGGAATGAATCGTTAACCGTTAATCGTTTTTTTTTTTGGCTTACATGAATGCATAAGGTCTCAGGTTACGTATGTAACCATGGTTCACTGAGTAGGGAACGAGACACTGCGTCCTCTAGGGGTCGCTATGGGGAATGCCTCGTCGTGACCCGTGTGTGAAGCATACATTGAAAAAACACCAACTCGTTGGCCAGCGACAGCCATGACGTCACTATCGGTGCGACTATAGTATAAATAGGCGCCAGGAGCTACACATCATTCACTTCTTCGTCTGAAGCTTGCGTCCGCAGTATGGCAAGAATCCTAGAGAACGCAGTGTCTCATTCCCTACTCAGGGAACCATGGTTACATACATAACCTGAGACGTTTCCTTTCATGGGAACTTCGAACTGCGTCCTCTAGGGGTCGCTATGGGGAACGGTATACCCATGCCACCATGCTGAGGGGAGTGCATGCCAGAACCATGGCGAGCACTAAGTACCAACTCTACCATAT